TTTCGCCCCCGGGGGTGGGGGGCGGGCCCGCGTCACGCTGCGCGCCTCTCTGGTCCCCGCCCCCCCTTTCAGCAGCTGCACCCCCGCCTAGCCTGGGCGTGCCTCCCCTCCCCCCACCAGACCTGGCTCCTGGGTGTCACCTGTGGGCAGCCTCCGAGCTCCCCTCCCCTGCCCCCCCAGACTAGTGCCTCTTCCTCACGGTGCGCCCTTCGCAAGGGGGCTGCTTTCCTTTGGGGGGTTCAGAAGAAGGAGGGGCAGTAGGAACCCCAATGCCTGGGCTGGTCACCCTGGTACGTGCCCTGAGCAGCACCGGCCCCTGATGGAGCTTCAGCAACATCCCGGCTCTAGCTCCGGCTTTCCCCGTCTAAGTGCCACCTGCTGCTGCTCTCATGCAAAGTTTCTCAGCACTTGTGCTCTCTGAGCACTTCTCTGTGATCTCTCTCGGCCCACGTGGCCACGGCAGTTGCTACAAGGGGGCGCGAAGCCAGCTAAGTATCCCCCCTCGTGCCAAGACCCCCACACCCGCGTCTTGCCCCTGCACCCTCCACCTGGCCAGACACCCTACTCCCAGCCTGCTTGTGCACCCCACCCCCACTCAGATCTTGCAATCTCTCCCGTTCTGCACCCCAACTCCCTCCCTGATCCTGCACCCCATCCCTATCCCACTCGCTGGCAGCCCTGTCTTGCATTCTGAGCCTAAGTGGGGGGTCCATAAAATCCACTAACTCCGGCATCCCAGAAAAGAAAATCTGGTCTACAGGAAACCCTGAACCTCAGTCCTCCCTGTCCCTTTCCTTCACCCCGTGAGGCTGGAGCCAAGGGAGGGAGGTGTCTCTGTGGGGGGCCACAGCAGTGAGGGTTGGGAGTTTTTTGAGGAGTTTTTTTGCTTCTCCCTTGTATAGTCCCCAACTGATCTTTCTGTGGGTCAGTGACCCCTGCCCCCGAAAAGGTTCCCCACTCCACCATAAAAAAAACATCGAAACCTTTCGTGTTGGATGCAAATTACTATTTTACTTTATTTAAAATGAAGTTTGATGAACTATGATGAGAGTTAAAATGCTGAATGTTTCATAATTTACATTAAACCGTTCTCCCTAGCTGCAGCTGGTTCAGAAAATATGGTCACCAGCCTGCCCTGCCCTCCCCCCACCACACAGATCCGCGAATAAGTTCAGTCTTGACGCGCCTTTTCTCAAGGGTTGCCAGCCCCTGGGCTAGATGGTGCTTAGTGCTGGCGAGTGCAGGGGACTGGCCTGGATGCCCTCGAGGTCGTGTGTTCTAGGTGGCTCTACGCACTACGTGCCACCATCCCCTTGCACGTAAGCTCACTGGGCACGGTGAGCAGAAGCAAAGAGCTGCTGAGATGTGTGAACCAGCCTTTCTCCCTTCCCCTTTTGCGGCTGTAGACAGGAAGATCAGCTCGCTGGTGACGATCACGACCAAGACGTTCTTGCGCTACCACAAGCTGCGGCGCCTCATCGCGAGCATCCGGCAGTACTACCCAGACATAAAAATCATCGTCGCCGACGACAGCCGAGACCCGGAAAAGATTGAGGAGGCGAATGTGGAGCATTACATCATGCCCTTTGGGAAGGTCTGTCACTTCGTAGACAGGTCTCCGCTAGGGTCCTCCGTCCTCGGGGAAACACAGTCTTGCTCAATGGGGACAGGCCACATCCGAAAGAATGCACCTTATTGGGTGGGATGTTTTTAAAAGCCCCTCACTGATGTAGAAGCACCAATCCCATTGGGGTTCTTTTCCCCCTGAGTTGCGACCTGCTTGTGCTACCATAACCCAGATGCTCATAAGAGTGCTCAAGTGTGTTAGAAGCACAAATCTTAGTGAAAATCAATAGGGTTTGTGCTCCTAAAACTCTTGGACACTCCTGAAATTAACCATCTTTTATTAGTGTCGGGGATGATCTAGGTAGTGCTTGGTCCTTTACCGTTCTAGGCTACGTCTACACTGGCATGATTTAGCGCAAATACTCTTTAACACAAGAGTTTTTGCGTTAGAGTATTTGAGTAAGAGAGCGTCTACACTGGCATGTGCCTTTGCGCAAAAATGTGCTTTTGTGCGAGAGCATCCGTGCCAGTGTAGACGCTCTCTTGTGCAAGAAAGCTCCGATGGCCATTTTAACCATCGGGCTTTCTTGTGCAAGAAATTGATGTTGCCTGTCTACACTGGCCTCTTGCACAAGAACAGTTGCACAAGAGGGCTTATCCCTGAGCGGGAGCATCAGAGTATTTGCGCAAGAAGCCCTGATTTTATACATTACAATGTCAGTGCTCTTGCGCAAGTACTCGTAGACAGGTGGCAAGATTTTGTGCAAAAGCGGCCAGTGTAGATTTTTTTTTTTTTTTTGCCCCCTAGTGTTTTATGATTATTCCCAGTTACATGAAGTTCCTGCTTTGCTTTTGCGTGTACCTGAGACTAAACCATAGGCTTTAGAGCACCCCTGACAACTCATGGGGCAGGACTCAACCGGGTTGTGGATTCACTTCAAGACAGAGTCAATCGGGGTAGAGAGTTGCTTTTGTTAATCTCACTATGTCACTACTATTACAGGCTTAATACTGCCCAATGGTTACACAGCTACTGCAAAGTACTACAGATCTCAGCATAGGCAGAGCAGTGCATATGAGAGAAACAGGCACTTGGACACGCTGACGCCCTTTCAGGTCTTTGGGGAGTCCCATTCCGATCACCTCGCACCCGGCCACAGTGGATGTGACTCCAGTTAGGGCAGTGTTCAACTTTTTAAGATCGAGGAATGCCAAACAATTTTTTTTGTAATGAGGAACACCACAGATTTTTTGTTGAGCCAAAAAAAAAAAAAAAAAGATTAAGGTCGGGGAAAAGGGTCGGGGGAAAGTTACTGAGGGGGGGGAAAAAAGGGTCAGGGAAAGGTCTCCTGTCCCTTTAAGGGCAGCCATTTTGAATTCTGTTCTCCTCAGCACACCTCCGACTGCCTCGCGGTATTCTGGTGTGCCGAGGAACACAGTGTAAGAAACACTGAGCTCGGGGGATTCAGGACACCCTCTGAGGTCTAGGTCCCTGTTGAGACGCAATGGGCACGGGGCTTCCCACACTAGTTATACTACAGTGGTTTACCGGGTGTGCACGTACCTGGCCCAGGGCCATTCTTATCACTCTCATGAGCTGAGAACGAGGTCAAACTTGTTTACCACTTAGTAGTTTCCCAGCTCAAGGCCTGAGTTACAGCTGATAACGCCCAGCTGTGGTTTGGGCTTGCAGAATCCCAGGCTATGCTCAGCTGGGAACAGCAGGGATGCAAAGGTCCATCCTAGGCCTGCTAAGCTGCAGGACCCACACAGGACTTATGTGACAACCCCAAATGGTAAAATGCCCCTTGGGATTATCCCTTGGGAGTTGGGAGTAGTCTTTGGATGATTTGGAGCCACCGAGTTCCACTGACCATCAGTCTGTCTATGGCTGGAGATCTTGTTGACGTGTCCATGATGCAATCCACTTGACTCAGACTCCCAGTTCCCCTTTCATGCCCCCAAACTTACGAAACCACGACCATTACAAGGACTACGTAGCTGATCAAATGGAGCAAAGGTTACAAGGTAGGCTGAAAACCGAAGGTAGTTTTCCAGCTTCTGGGTCATTAGATTGAAAATAATCTACCTCTGTCAGTGCCAATTTTCCACAGACTTTCATCCCTACATTCCAAGAAATGGGAGCAGAAGGACAGATTCAGGACACCTGGGTCCTGTTCACCCCTGATCTAAGCTTAGTTACAAGATCTACTGCATAACTATTCCTGGCAGTAAACAAAAGCAGCGATGGCCCATTCCAGTAGTTGGCAGTGGCTTAGGCACCTTGTTGTCTGTTAAAACACTGCTCTACATTTCAATCACATGGCCAAGTGACCACCTTACTACAAGGTCACTTCTTGTGGCAAAGCTGTCCCGTTTCATCCTCATTGGCGCATTCAAATGACTCGTCTTTTCACGCCCGCGGGGGTTGCACACGGCTCGCCAGTTTGGGGCCTGTATGTTTGCATGTAGATAATTTATCTTTGTACAAAGTTGTCCTGACCGGGCCGTTCTGTGTCTCGGGGATTCCCGTTTACCAGGGTTGGTTCGCAGGAAGAAATCTTGCGATCTCTCAGGTCACCACCAAGTACTACCTGTGGGTTGACGACGATTACTTATTCACCGAAAACACCCGGATCGACAAACTGGTGGACGTGCTGGAGGGAACCAACTTAGATATGGTAAGAAATGGCATTACATTGTACCCTGGGAAAATGTTTAGGGTTGGCCGGTTGTTTGGAAAGGGCTTAAAGAGTCCCAGTGAATGCTGAAGCCTTTGAAAATTTGGCCGTTGTTTGAGAAGAGGAATAGTCCTTCCAGCTTTAGAAATGTATTCCTCTGTAGACCCGTGGGAGTCTTCTGCTTATCAGACTAGTTTAAAATCTTCATTATTGCCTTACAAAACCACTCAGGGGAAGGGTGGGAAACTTGCTTTCAGGTGATCAGGAAAATCTTGTATGGATTTTTAGATTGACCGTGACCACACCAGAGTTTAGTGCTGTCCAGCTAAATGCTTTTGAGGTAAGCGGGGTATTTCTCATGTGTCACCTGGCTTTCTTCGTTGGTTTCACATTCTCAAAATTGTGCCTGGCTTCAATTGGTGCATTTGATGCTGGAGATTTGCAACTTCAGTCCGGGTCTCTGCATGCTTTCTGTGTTTTTGGTTCAGTAACATTTCATAGGAGGCAAAGTCGTGAACAGATAAGGTGTGGCATTGGCAAGCAATAAGCTTGATGCAACCGGTTTTGGATCACTTTAGTGTATGACTTCTGCGAGGGGATACTTGGCTCGCCTTGGACCCTAGAAAGAGCATTGCCTTGCTCTTGTTGAAAAGCTGCATCCGTTTAGGACTCTCCCAGGCCAATTTTGGAAAAACCTCTCCAATCTGGATCCTGGTCTTCCCTCACCAACCAGTCACCTTCGGCTGTAACGCCAGCAAGAATTCTTGACCTGCAGTTCGGAAGCCAGTGGAAGTTGGATTTTGCTCCCATTGTGTATTTTCTGGCCCAGTTGTTTTTAAATGAGCTTCTGGGAATTATTTCCAAGGCTTGGCCTGTCACAGCTGACCCAAGAGAGGACTTATGGAACAGATCCGCTGTAACTTCTGGCCACGTTTGCAAACTGCAGCCCAAGCTCGTAGTGAAAAAGAACGCACTTCCAATGAGAGCGGGTTGGTGCCCCGCCGAGCAATTCTTAGTAAACACCTTCCTGGCGTGCACTTGCTGGCTGGCCGGGTTGCCGGTACAGATTGCACCTCTATAAACAGGAATTCTCTGGTACTGCTGGACCATGGGTGTTCCAGGATCAGTGTGTCTCAGTGCGGTGTGTGTGTGTACCCTGGGAGCCGCTGGGCGCAGGGGGCCTGCAGGGACGTGCCGCTGCAGGGAGCGGACACACGCCCGTCTGTCTTGCCCGGCAGGTGGGCGGCAGCGTGGGCGGGAACACCTTCAGCTTCCAGCTGCTCTACGAGCAGGGCGGCGACAGCGGCTGCCTGCACTTGAAGTACGGCTCCTTCCACGAGCTGGCCGGGTTCCCCCACTGCACGGTCACCAGCGGGGTGGTCAACTTCTTCCTGGCCCACACGGACAAAAGCAGACAGGTCGGCTATGACCCGGCTCTGCAGCGAGTGGCCCACTCAGGTAAGCCCCAGACGAGCTAGCTCTCGGGGGGGGGGGGGCGGCTGCCCCACAGAAGCTCCCCGCCCGCCCCCACTGTGCCTGGTGTCTCACTGCCTTTATTTCCGGGCTTCCAGCTTCGTGCTTTCACTAACCTGCCGAGGGGCCCTCTCCCACCGGGAGCACGTGGACTAGCACCCGGGGGATTCCCAGCCCTGGGGCAGGACCTTGGGGCGCAGGGGGTGTCTCGGGATGGTCTGATTCCTAGCTCGGGTGGACGTGCACGCGGCAGCTCGGACTGGCCTTGCGTTCTGGACGGACCGCGGCGCTCCAGCGTGCGGGACGTGGGCAGCCATCCAGAGCCCCCGCCGCGGCCGTTGGGGAAGAGCTGGCGGGTGAGCTTTTCCCTGAGCAGGGGGTCGCATCTCAGAGCCGAGGGCAAGTCTCTCAGCCGTGGGAGGGCTTTGGGGGGAGGTTCTATGCAACGGAGGATGATGCGGCAGCTTCGCTTTGTAAAGGGCTCTGAGGTCTCCTGCCCCGCGTGCTCCGCCGTGGGGCTGTAAAGGCGCACGAGGGAGCTAGATGCCCAATCTCCTCCTCGTCCTTTGAACAGCCCACCCCGGGGAAATCCCATCTCCACTTCCGTTTCCAGCTAGTTAGATTAGACAGAGGGCAGCCCGGGACCACGGACCCACGGAGCGTCCCGCTCTCTGCCCACGGCTCTGCAAAGCGGCGCTGGACTGAAGTGCCTCTTGCCCTTGCCGGAGGCGGCCAGCCCAGCCTGCCCATCTGGCTAGGGCCGGGATTCCCAAAGGGCAGGGTGGGGGGCACTGGGGAGGAGGGGGAGGAACCCCCCTGCAGCTGCTGAGGAACTGGGATGGATTGCGGTATTTCGACCGCTCGAAAGAGAGAATTCCTGGGTTGGGGGCAAGCAGATTTTCCCCAGCTGGGTCCAAGAAAAAAAGTTAGGGCTGGGGTGGGGTGAATCCTTTCCTCACTCGCGCCCTCTTTCTCCCCCTCCCCCCTCCTTCTTTCCCTTTTTTCTTCCTTACCTAGACCCAGCAAACTTACACTTCACTTGCCTCAAGTCCCTTCTCCAGGTAGTCACTCTATCTCCGTGTTTCTCAGCCAGTGGTCCGAGTAGTCTTAGGGGGACTCAAAGCCCAGGGGGTACGTCCATGCAACTGAAATTTGGAGAAAACTGAATTTTTGTTCGAAGTTTTACAGCACTTTATTATTTTTATATTTTTTACACCCAAACATTTCATTGCCCGCCTGGCTACGATTAAGTTGCTTAAACACATGTGTTGCAGTGATAGAAAAAAAAATTGTGTGCGTCTAAAAACTGTAGGTACTTACAATTTTTTAAAGCGGTACATTATAAAAAAAGGTTGAGAAACACTGCTCTAAAGGGTTCTCGGACACCCTGGTTCGTAGCTAAAGTAAATGGAGGTTTTAAATGAAGCATTGGCAGCTGTCCCTGGTTTTGTTAAAGCATTTAATCATTACACTTAAAATAGGGTCAATGGTGTTTAGCAGCCCGGGGCTGTAACAATGAACGTTGTGTGGGGCATTCTTGGGTGACTACAGTGTCTCAAGGTGCCAACAAAGTTTGGAGACCCATTGTCCTAGAAACTTGATTAGCAGATGATAAGAAAGTCCTTGTTTTGAAGAACTTGCCATGTATCTAGATGGGACAAAAGGTGAAAAGGGAGTTCCTTTATGCAAGGAGACGTTACATTGGCAGTGTTTTAGCTGACGCCAGCGAGGCTCACGCACTAAGCTCCATTCACGGGGTCTCTGGTTCGCTTCCACCTGCCAGCGTGACACCTACATTGACCTTTGATTTTCTGTTTTTGTTTTTTTTTTTTTCCTCTCCTTCCCAGAATTTTTCATGGACGGCCTGGGCATCTTGCTTGTTGGTTCCTGCTCTGATGTTTCTATAGGCCATCAAGAACATAATCCTAGCTCTGACCCTGACCCGAAGGTAGAAAACGAATACAGAAAGTTCCGGGCCAACACGCCAGCCCAGGTCCAATTCAAGCTTGCGTTGCACTACTTCAAAAACCGGCTGAAGTGCTACTCTAAACGATAACCGTTCGCCCTGCCGGTGCTGGTCTATAGACGTCTTCCTACTGCCCATGGGAGGGGGCCATGCTGGGGACCAGCCTAACTTATTGGTTTGCACCATGCCGGTTGCCTGCCTTTTGCACGTGCCTTTTGCTAGAACCTTTGTAAGAGGCCGACTTTGGGATCTGTTTGCTCCGACTTGAAACGGACGCCACTGTTCTGCGCCATGGGCGCTCGGACCCATTCCAAGGCCTGGAAATGTTTCTCCGCCCGTCAGACGAGGCAGTTTGGCGAGAACGGAGCCAGACTGGCCATCGCCTTGCACCGGGTCCTGTCCAGCAGAGTGAAAGGGGCCTGGAGGGGGAGGAACTGCTACCACTATAAGGGACGCGGAGATGCTCTCCTGCACTGCAGCGAGGGGCGCGGGAACTGCTCACGCCCAGCAGCAGCAGCACAAGGACAGTGTGTTCACACCGAAATGCCTGATTTCTCCAGAACGGAATCCATGAGACCCTCCTCCGGGTTCTCCTTCCTCAAGGACCAGAGTGCGGATGCTGGCAACCTGGTTTAGCTGTGCAGCTTTCACTCGAGGAGGAAACTGCAAACTGTTAATTACCCTGCCCGAAGGCAGAGCAAGCGCACGACCGGAGTTCTTTTCGGGTACTTCTGCCTTGGGGCGGGGGCAGAACTCGGCCATTGGGTGGGCGGGCGATGCTGACTGTCTCTTGCTAGCACCTTACTGTGGCAGGGGCGCTCAGTTACAATTGGACAGTACGTCCCACGCTGCCACTTTCAGCGGGGTTCCTGTGTTTTCCTACTGTCCTGGGGATAATTAAAATCTCTGATTTGATTTGAAAATGGACTTACCAGTAGAACTTTCCTTGGGGTTCTGGAAAGGCCTTCGGAGCCGTCATGCCAGAGATGAAATTCTTTGCACCCTGCATCCCCATCAAGTGACTGACAGCTTCCTCCATCACAGTGAGGAGAGGGATTTTCTACACTTGCTCTCCTTTTAACAACTGGGTAAGAGATTGCTGTATCTCAGAAGAACGGCCAGAGTGGGTCAGACCAACAGTCCATCCAGCTCAGGGTCCTGTCTGCCCACAGTGGCCAATGCCAGATGCCCCAGAGGGAGGGATCCTACCAGGTAATCTTCAAGTGATCCCTCCCGTCACCCATCTCCAGACAAACAGTGGCCAGGGACACCATCCCTCCCCATCCTGGCTAATAGCCATTGATGGACCTAACCTCCATGAATCCATCTAGCTCTTTTTTAAACCCTGTTAAAGACCTAGTCTTCACCACATCTTCTGGCGAGGAGTTCCACAGGTTGACTGTGCGCTGAGTCACAAACATCCTTTTGTTTGTTTTAAACCTGCTACCTATTAATTTCACTGGGTGACCCCTAGTTCTTATATTGTTGGAATAAGTAAATAACTTTTCCTTATTCACTTTCCCACACTTTTTCCAGACCTCTTTCCACCCCCACCCCATACCCTTAGTCTCCTCTCTTCTAAGCTGAAAAGTCCCAGTCTTTTAAAACTCTCTTCATACGGGACCCGTTCCAAACCCCGGATCATTTTTGTTGCCCTTTTCTGAATCTTAATTGCTGCAAATGTTGGAATCTTGCAAAATTATCTGACCACTCGTGATTTTGCAGACCTCACTCCTATCTCCCAAGATTTTTGACACTTGCAGAGTCCTCCTTTTCAAGTTTTTAGAGTGGATATTCTAAAAGCTAGTGCAAGAAGAAAACCACCCTGCTCGAAAGCCCGGCCTCACCGCTAAAAGCTCTGCTGTGCAGCGCATCAAGGTGCATAATCCCATAGGGGTGGCTGGGTTAGTCTGTGGCTGCAAAAACAACGAGGCGTCTGGCGGAACCTTTAAAGACTTAGATTGATTTGGGCCTCAGCATCTCTAGGTAAAAACCCACTTCGCTAGCGGCGTGGGATGGAAATCGGAGGCCGGGAGGAGTCGATGTTCTGGCCGTTCTAAGTTATGGACACACATCAGACCTCAAGAAAGGGAACCTACAAAGCCCAGCCGAGAGCCCTTGGCCCCCCCTGCACACTGCATGCCCGATTTAAACGGCGCCGTCCTTTTACAAAAAGAACTTCACAGCCAGCTGACGGCAAGAAACAGCAGAGCTGCCATTCACTTGCAGACCTAACAGGATTGAATATGGCCATTTTCCCCCTCTCAGTATTCGGACCTCCCCTTCTGCTGGGGGGAGTAAGTCGCCTCCCCCTGCCTGAATCGGTCTCGTTAACACTGATAATTAACTCCCCCCCTTCCATGTGCTAGCACATGTCTCTCCACGGCCGTGACCGCCCTGCACCGGGCGCCGTGGGTTGTACCCACACACACTGGTGCCCACATCACTCGGTTCATCTTTAAGGGGCGGCCGGGCTCCGCGCTGCTTTGGAAGAGGCGCCGGGATGTCTCACGTGTCAGTAGGCGGCTTTCGGGGTGGTGGCAGACTCTGAAGTCGGTAGGGATAAGGCAGCACCCCCGGCCATGGCTGCCACATCCGATCCCTTGGGTCCACTTGATTACTGGAGTCTCCGAACCATCAATCCAGATCAAAGGGGCGTAGTACTAGCAAGTTTAACCAGCGTTGCTCTCAGGTCATTGAGGAGCTCAGAGAAGGGGGCTGTAGGTGTGGGGGGGGGAGGGTGCAGGAGTCCAGGTAGAGGCTTAGGGATGTGGGGGGTTCAGGAAAGGAGGAGTGGGGGGTGGAGGGGTGGGATGGCAGGGGCCGTGCAGCCTGCCCACTTGCTTCTCCCCCGGGGCCGGCTGGGGTGGCAGGGGCCATGCTGCTGGCCAGCAGCTGCACCCCAGGGCTGGGACACTTGCTGCCCCCATGTGGTCATTCTGGGGTATAACTGTCCCCACTATCACACCCCTCCCTTTCTGTTTGATGAGAAGCAATCCCGTTCCAAGCAGGACCCATTGTCCTGGCACAACCAAGTCCTGACCCTGCTTTAAGAGACGCTGCATCCCAATTTTGGTGGTCCTAGCGCTTACCGATTAGGAGTTCAGGAACAACGTGATTCACGGAGAGCTGGCCACGCCGATTCCCCAGCTCTCTACAATAAATAGTAGCCGAGACCGGCGCTGCCGAGGGCGCTTACAATCTCCGTGCAGACAGAGCCGACAGAGAGGCGCTTCGGGGCCCAAACAGGGCTGCAGTTTTGCTGGCACGAATGGTCTTGGGCAGCCAAGTGGCGCTGAGGTTTTGAAAAGCGGCTTCTCGCTTCAGCTGAGCCGGCGGAGGCGCCGTTCCTAGAGGGCCTGCCCAGTGCTGACACGGCAGCCTGCCCCCTTCCACGGGGCCCCTTCAGTCAACGCGGGGGCCCCGAGGGAGCTCGGTGCTGCCCAGAACAGTCCGTGCTCCGTGTTGGCGCTGAGCGTGTTCGCTTGCTCCCGGAGCCCTCTGCATCGTCCAGCCCCCGCTCTCGTCTGCCACGGAGCTCACGGAGGGCAGAGGAGGGAGTTGGATGATGCAGCAGGTAGAGAAGAGAGCCCAGGCCAGGGATCGGAGAAGGCTTCTGTGCCCCCCCGGGCTCCAGGCCCTTTAAAAGGCTGCTGGAATGGAGGGCTACCTGGGGACCATGCTGACCAAGTTGCACTGAGGTTCTGGCTGCCCTAGCCCCCTCCCTTCCACTCGGGGCTGAAGCCGAGGCCCCCCCCACCATTCCCCAGGGTCCGGTGACACTTCTGCAGCCTGGCTTGGCGTGGTGCCAGGGAGGCAACCACGTGGGAAGCCACGGAATGGCTCCTGCCTCCCGCTGGCTCACCTGAGGGCCCACGCTGCAGCCCTGCCCAGCCCAGGGGCGGGTGAAGTGTTTGGGGGAGCAGCCCCGCGGGCCGCCCACTATGCCCAGGCTGTGAGCCAGCGCCCGCCCACGCAGGCCTTTGCATCCCTGAGCCAGGGCTGGCGGAAGGAAGGGGCTTTAGGGGCCCTGCAAAAAGATCTCCAGGCTGCCAAAAGTGCATAATGTTCTGCAGGGCCCCCCCAATCCTGAGGCTCTGGGCTGCAGCCGCTGAGAGC